ACTGCTTAACACCAAGAATACAAGGATGGCACAACTACTGGCTTTTGCAGAATGGAGCAACTCATAGTGCACTGGAGCAACCTGTTAACGTCTTATCTCCGAAGACTTAGCTATGGACACATGCTTGGGCTATTTTCTCCATTCTAGTACTGTGCCTGTTCATTCAGCATTTGGTTCTACCCTCAGTGAGTTTCTAAATGTGTACGTAAAGTTCTCAGAAGTTACTGAAAGAGTGCTCCAGTGGCAGTGAACAAGCAGCATGTGGGGAAAACCATCAGACTTTGCAGTGCCTGTCAGCTTCAGATTTAAATTTTTAATTTCCGGTAGTCGTGGGCAATGCCTGAGAAGTTTTATGGGCCATACAATGTGCTTGGGAATACCATTTTCAAAGCATTCTTTGTCAACACTCATTACGGTCCACAATGTGAAAATAATTCTGTAATATGTCATCTGCTGTGATGCAAGGGAGTTTTAGTCTTTTGGGTTTCCTTTTTAGAGGAATCAGAGCAGAATTCTCCAAAATTTAAAAATTCTTTATACCTAGTTTATAAGATTTATAAACATACAGTTTACGTGTTTCACTGTGAGACTTTAGCATGCAAATGTTTATTGTGATTACAGAAGGTATGATACAATTATTAAGGGGCTGTATATATATTCACATAATCTTTCAAACTAACTAAATGCCTGAGGGTAATATTAAGACATATAGAACTGCAGATGATGATAAAAAGTAACTGCAAACATTAAACAAATCTGATGAATCAAAATAAAGCCTTACAATTCTTTTGGTACAATAAATCTAGTATAAGTCAGCCAGAAAAAAATGCTTTCACATGATCTGGTGATGCAGATGAAGTTTTACATTAGTATATCAATATTGTGGCATTGAGCTGTCACATCCAACATGATTTCTGGAATAGACATTAAAAAATGTTTGATAAATGACACTTCTGCTATCAGTGATACTTGATAGATTCTGTTGTTCATGAATGTCCTCTTTCCAGTTTGTTTTCTACAGCTGTTTATTTATTTGACATCATATTTAAAATACACAATTAAGGATATCAGTAGACAATCTGTAAATACTAACACTCAGAAAGAAAGGGAATTTAGTAGTGTGATTCTATAGCTATATGACCCTATCTCACAAACTTAATGCTTGTTTCTTTAACGGCAATGCTTTCTTCAACTTGCTTACCTCAACAAGAAGAAGAAAAAAAACCCAACCACAAACAAAAAAACCCCACAAAAACCAAACAAACAGGAAGAAGAAAAAAACAAACAAAAAAAACCCCTAAAAAACCCCACCCCAAAACAAACCAAAAAAAGAATAACGAAGGTCAGTAAAAGTCCCATTTCTGTTTGAGTCATGTCCTGAGAATCATACCTTAGCCTGAGCGCTAAGCTACCAAATTGAATGAATGCATTAAAATGTGTCAATTTAATGGATCAGATTTAATAGTCTGTTATTGAAAAATCAACCCTGAAAATCGAGATGCAGTCTCAGAACTGGTGTGAATATACCCAGTTTCTACCGAGCAATATGCTTTAAAAGCACCAATTCATTGTTTAATAAGCAACTAAATTAGAAAGAAAAGATATGAAATGGTTTACAAAAGTAGTGCTACTTTGGAACAAAGATTAGTGATTTTGCATTAAAGGATTCTACCTGAAACAAACTAATGCAATTTAGAGGTTTACCTGTCATTTCTAGAACACCGGTGCTATTAGCTTTTCCTCGGTTATTTTCTGCAAAACAAGTGTAGCGACCTTCATCCAGCTTTGTGATATTGATAATTTCAAGGCTCCCATCATCCCAGATACGTATGCTATTGAAAGGAAAAAAAAAAAATACATCAAGAGAAATTTGGTTTTATATTACAAAGCAATACTTTGAGTGGAATTGTAGCAAGTGAAAGAACAAACCACAAACATCTCTTGGAAGCTCACATTTAACTACCGCATTTTTCAACACTCCTATAGTAAGAAATATTTAAATAGTCTGTGGCGTGATTAGATGCCTCACATTGCTGGAGGAAGAGCACTTCCCTCCACCTGTAGTCATACGAATTTTTTTCTTAGTTTTGTGGTACAATTCAATTCTAAAATGTGAACAGCACCAAACAGACTGCTTCCAGTTGGAGATCCTGCTAGTTATTTGGATCAATCCTGGCAGTAACATTTTGGCATACTGTTTTCCTGAAATGACATGTTCTGCTGCCCCTGAAGTCTGCAAAAGTGAGAACTAGCCTACAGGATAAATAGAAACAGAAGGCAGCATTTTTAAGACTCACAGTGTCCACTAACAGTCAATACTAACCGGCTCCCATTCACAAGCAATTCTGTTCCTTTGCTCCAGGAGAATTTTGGTTTAGGAGCAGCTTTCGGCTTGCATTCAATGATTACACGGCCCCCTTTAGCGGCTAGGATTTTCTTCTTCATAGGGTTCAGTTCAAAAGTTGGAGGTGAAGCTGAAAGGAAAAAATAACACAAACATTGCTGTTAGGGATGTTTTCCTGCCAAATACAGTTTGTTTGCAACATGAAGTAAATGACAGAACTGTTGAGTTGTGCAAAAATGTCCATTATTGAGACTGGTGAGAAAAAGGTAGTAACACTACAGAGATGTGCTGATAAGCAGATGGTGATCTAAAGGATTCAGGAAAAATCATTATGTAGTTCTATGTTGTGTTACACTAGAGGTTTCTTTCTGCTGAATTCTGAACTTCCATCTAAGTTTAATCTAACAAGATCAAAGTCCACTGAAATCAACAGAAAGTTCCTCCCTTTCAAAGGCCTTTTGATCAGCCCTAATAAACTTCAGATTCCCGGAGAGCAGTTTCTGTAAAAAGCTGCTCACTCAATCATACTTTCAAAGAATAGTTGGGTTGACTTTTCACTGGTTTTAACCCCCCCCTCTAGCAAATTTAAGGTTGTGCTCTTCCTCTTTGTAGTTTTCTGTTTGGCCAGCTGGTCTTAGGTGCACTCTCAGATGTACAGGAGTAAGGAGACATGATTGTAGCAAGCACCACAGTAATGCATCTGAGTTCAGACCTTTGCTTACTAATTTTCTCTTTATTTTTAAGCAAATAAAAGAAAAAATGCTTTTCATTATTTTGCATCTTGGTGTACTGTCATTGTCAATCATGCCAGCAAGTGTGTGTACAGCTTGTGAAATTGGGGATCATAGTTAATTACAGCAGAACAGAAAAAAATTCTGATAAACATCCACACATTACCAACACTGAATTTTGAAAATGTGCGTGCAAAAAGTGCTCATTTCTGGGTAATCCGGGCTGGTGGTGAGTACATAGTAGTGGAAGAACAGTTAAAGATAAGTACTGTTGTGCAATGGGTTGGGGCATTCAACAACAGTTTAGCTCTGGGGAAAGGCTAGAGCAAGCATGAGATGGAAAGAATCCAGGGTAACTACTGCAGGGAAATCTCCTTGGAAAGCCATGTCCCATCCCAGTATGCCTGCTCTAATGATAGCAGTAAAAACGCCGGAAATTAGGCCTGAGCACTCTGGATCTGAAAGTCAACCTTTCAATAGGATGGTCCTTAGGAAAACACAATGGATTACTAGCTAGATCCGGCCATCAAATGGAGCAGCTATATTGCACACAAACACTGCAGCTGCTCTTAAAGGGTTGCAAAAGGCAAAAGCAATGGGGAAAGTGAAGAGAAATATCTTCAAAGGCCTGGTGACTGACAACATGGTTTCTAAAAAAGCAGATTTTGCCCCGCAGAGGAGTGAGCAAAGGTGAGCAAAAGAAAGCAGTCAACCACTTTTGCAAGCTTGAGAGGGTAGACAGCAGCTCTGTCCTTCATATAATTTCTGCACTAACAGTTACTCTGAGATTAACAGCAGCAGTCAAACATCAGAAATAACACAGCAAACATTCCCCACAGATTAGCTACTTGATTCCTCAAGTCACTGCCAAAACCCAGCTAGGGAGCAAACATACAATCCTCACCTAGTCTGAGTGAGGGTTCCTACCTTTATCCTCACAGGAATCTGTTACCCAGCAATGCTTGCAAATACGACTGCTATCTTACTCAAACCTCAAACAGCAAATAGAGCAAATAATCCCACTGACCCACAATCTTCAGTTCAGCATTTGCATAAATAATTCCATGCGTGTTTTCTGCTATACATTGGTACATGCCGGCATCGTCAAAGCTCAGACTTTGTATTCTTAGTTCACCTTTCCGGAACTAAAACACAGAATCAATAAAACAACAAGATATTCATATAGACTATGCATGCTGAAGAATTCACAGCCATCCATGTTTCTGCATTTTATTTTAGTGACTGTTCAGAAGAGAGTCCCTCACACAACATTCAGGCACTGATGAGACTTTATTTTACGCAGGTTACATTTCAGACTTTGTGATAATGTGTTAACATTTTTTTTAAAGAAAGATTCAGTGTCAACTGATATTCTTCTGGAAAATCATAACTGAGTGGCACTAGACACATCTCTTCTTCAGTCCACCATTACCACACCAATACAAACTCTACTGATTTAGAAATAAGAAACCAGAAATGAAATTAATTTTGTGCACATACGCTTAGTTTTGCCATGCTTAGTGTATTATATTTTACAGACACTGTTTTACAAGAGTGAAAAGGCAAAGTGAGTCCCAGTGAGGTAGTTTTTCAGTAGATTCTTCCAGGAGGTAGTATAAATTATTTTCTATTACTTTGTTTTAGTATAAAAAGAAAATTCAGTAAATCAAAATCAACTATTTGATCTATTTCTAAAAAAACTGTATAAAAATGCACAAAGTGCAGTGTTTTGTAAATTACAAATAAATGTCAATCACTTTTTGAAAGTTCATGTTGTTAAATTCTGTTTCCTGGTGAAAATGAAGCTGAAAAACTTTAAACTTTATATATGAATCAACTGAATTAAAGGCTAAAGGTATCCTGGGATGCCTTAAGAATAGTGTGGCCAGCAGGTCAAGGGAAGTTATCCTACCCCCCTACTCTGCGCTTGTGGGGCCTCACCTGGAGTACTGTGTCCAGTTCTGGACTTCTCAGTTCAAGAAGGACAAGGAACTGCTGGAGAGGGTCCAGTGAAGGGGCCACTGAGATGATTAAGGGTCTGGAGCCCCTTCCATATGAGGAAAGGCTGAGAGAGCTGGGTTTGTTCAGCTTGGAGAAGAGGAGGCTGAGGGGGGATCTTATCAGTGCTTATAAATATCTAAAGGGTGGGTGTCAGGAAGATGGGGCCAGGCTCTTCTCAGTGGTGTCCAGTGACAGGACTAGGGGCAGTGGCCATAAACTGGAAAACAGAAGGTTCAACCCGAACATGAAGAAACACTTCTTCACTGTGAGGTGACAGAGCAGGGGAACAGGCTGCCAAGAGAGGTGGTGGGAGTCTCCTTCTCTGGAGACTTTCAAAAGCCGCCTGGACTTGTTCCTGCGTGACCTACTCTAGGTGATCCTGCTCTGGCAGGGGGGGTGGACTAGATGATCTCTAGAGGTCCCTTCCAACCCCTACCACTCTGTGAAGTGTATGAAGTAGTGGAAGATTAAAAGAATACTATTTATCTGAAAAAAGAATAGATCAAGGGAATCATATTCCCAGTACTGTTTTACTGAAAAATATTTAAATCAGATTTTCTACACAAAATCTTTGTTTTGTGCTAAGTGAAATACCTAAGTAAAAATTATCTAATTTAGAAACAAGATATATTCTCAAGGAAACTTAAGCATTTTTCCTATTTTCCATTTGGAAATCGTAATATTAACACACAGTATAATCTTCTGCTGAACTACTGTAGAATTCCACACTGATTTCTGCAATCCAGTATGCAGATTTTGTCAGTGAAAGTCAAGTGCAACGGGGACCATCAAGCAACTCACTTGCTAAATTACTTGTTTGTAATAACCACCAAAGGTAGAAAACAGCATTGTTTTTTTCTAGTTTAAGCCACGTCCATATGGCAGATGGTGATACTCCTATTCTCCCTCCAACCTCCCACATTTTTCTTAAATACACAGCCAAAACAATGCTGCCTTGTTGCCGTTATTTGTTTGCTTTCCAAGACCAGTGTCACCACAGCTCAACAGACGCAGCACTACACTGTGCCCTCTTCTATCCTCTTTGTTCATTAATGGCGTATCGCACAGCACAAGCAATGGATATTAAATATCTTGTTGAAATGTCTGGACAGAAAAACTACTTTGTTTAAACAACACATCCAATGCAATACACTTGAATTAACATATGGTACTCATTTAAACTTCAAATCACCTAAAATAATGGAATTTTGCAATATTCTGTGGCTAGAAAAAGTATGAAAAAGTACATGATATAGGAGCACCACTGATCATTTTAAAATGATCCTTTCTTCTCTTGTCTCTACTGACTCCCATTTTTTCTTATGCTTTTAGACATACCCATGTGGTAAAAAAGGATTATTTTTAGAGTGAAGCCGATAGACATTTTTTATCCAGGGAGAAAAACATAGCATTTACTTATAAAGGCCTGGAGAAAAAAGGATATCCAACATGTCATAAAAAGGCAAGTTCACAACTTAGAGGTGAATTTTAAATAGTCTGAAGAAATGCACTTCAAAACTGAAGAGAAGATAGAGATAAAACTTTAAAAAACATGTTTTAATCCCTAATGCAAACGGAATCAGCGAATGTTCATATCACTGTAATTCATTTTCTTCTAACCTTTTAATAATGCATGTTTCAAAAAATCAAAATTTCCATTGGCTAAACAATCAATTCTGTGTTAACTATGGCAATATACTTACCGAGACACCGTTCTTCAACCACCTAATTGTTGGAATAGGCATGCCTGTAGCTATACAAGGCCAGTATAGGTCACTGCCTATATCCTTCTCTGTGTCATTAATATGTTCCACCCACTCAGGAGAGGCTGAAGAATAAAAACCATGATACTTGTAAATACAGCAGAGGCACATTTAATTAGCATTTACAATCTATGAATTCCACGGCTTTTTCCATGATACTTCAAAGGCCACACAAAGGAATGATAACTCAGCAACACACCCGCAAAAGAAAGAATGAAGCAAAGATGTTTTTGTCTCACTGACTCAAAATTACTTCAAACTATTTCTATGAGAAGAAAATATGGAATTGAAATAATGCCATAATGAATGTCCAAAGATAAAAGATGTTAGTGCTTACAGGACCTGCGTAAATTATTCAGTAACGCCATAAAAATGATAGTTGAATTACATGAAATCAGGCAAAATCATCTATCTACTGAAAGGGTCTCCAAGGAAAATATTCTCTTGGTACAGAGAAGATATTTAGGAAATCTATACAGAAAATGTCTCAGCTTTCACTAAGCAAACAAATCTATTTATTAGTTTAACCTATAGCAACCAGTAACAACCTTCCCATGTCCCTTTTGAATTTATCCCACTGAAATTCAAGCACTTAACTAAGGAAATATTTGGCACAAACAGTGAAAAGAGACAGAAATCTTCCCAACGTAATTCAGATGTTACGTACGATCTTTTCATGTCACAGTTTTGTGGCTAAGTCTCAGTCAGGTTCCTTGGGATGATTCCACTATGAGCAATAAGACACAATGTTTTGGTTCCCTCATTTAACCAAACCCATAAGGGGAAGAGACAGAGGCTGAAGTAATAAAGAATTGACTGTAGCTAATAAGGGAGCTAAGACTGCTAGAAAAGGCAAACAAAATGAGGAAACAAGAAAGCCTAACAAATCTAATGCTGTCTCCTTCTTCCCAGCTGTTATTTCAAGTACTCTCAGTGTATTTTCTGTTATGCATAATTGTATTAATTGTAACAGACACTGCTGTCAAGGTGCATATACAGCTATCATAACCAAACTGAGTAGTTGTTCAATTAATACACAAATGTTATGCCTGCCATTCAGTTCACGAGTTTTCATTTTGCTCTACTGAACAGCAGTGTGTCAGGATGATGCAATGAGTCAGCACTGACATCGTGTGAGAACACAACAGATACTTCTGATCTAAGCAAAAGCGACATAGATCATGAAGAATAAAATTGTTCCACCTACCTTGTACATAAACTCTTGCTTGATGTTTATCTTTTCCTTTAGAGTTTTCAGCTTCACACTCATAAAGGCCTTCATCTTCATACTGAATATTGAAGATCTTAAGAACTGCCCCAGACATGCTTATCTCAGCAGTGGCTGGCATGGGTTCAAGGTATTTACTCCATCGAAGTTCAGGAACCGGACTTGGAAAGGTACAGGAAAGTACAAATCAGCACGTTCAAGAACTGGCTGGTAAATTGCAGACTACAAAAAAAGCGTTTGATGATGAAACATGTATTTTCATTCCCTGGAATATGAAAGCAAAAGGTGCTCTACAATAACTTTAAAACACACTTACTTCCCAAGAGCAAAACACTCCAGTGTCACATTTTGCCCCAGGAGAGCATACGTGTCCTTGAACTTCACCTTGATATCAGCAGGATATAATTTTGCACCTAACATGAAAAAAGAGATTCTCAGAAAAGGCATGGCAGAAATACATTAATAAGTATTAAAACTTCCACACTTAAGAAAACTGTTCTTAAAAATCCAGACAAAATTCTTCTTTAGAGTGAATAAATAGCCATGAAGTCTGGTTTAGTCCCGAACTTTTAAAGGCAGAATTTTTTTGTTCAGCAACTAGTTATCTTCCTCTGGTAATGCCTAACAGTTTTACAGCAGAATGCTTTAACAGAAACTCATTTACTTGCATTTGCAGTACAGTGATGTACTCTGTTTGTGGGTAGGCAAAAGACTGAGTCTCTCTTTTCCACAGATTCTTTTACTGGGTGGAGTATTTTGAATTACTGTGAATTTAAGCCTGATATTATCTTAGTAAGGGTATGAAGGAGCTAAAGCCAGCAAATCAAACGTCTTAATGAGGGCACAGGGATGCAAGTGTAATCAAATCTACCTACTGGTGATCCCTGTAGGACTCCTTGCAGTTCTTCTAGATGAAGATCTCAGTGTGAGTACTGGCCATGGAAAATGTGGACAAAGATCACTGATTTGTAATTACCCAAATTCAATCACAGTTCTTCACTGTAATGTGGATCATTTAATGGATAAAAAGGGCACTGAAATCCTGATAAGCAGTTTATGAGACTCTAGTAACTGACAGTCTGAAGTGGCAAAAGGGAACTACTTGGAAAACATGCAGTTTTCATGAAGAAATGCAGAGACTAATCCAGTGACACAAAGGCACAGAGGTGTCTTGGGGGAGTGGCCATGGAACACAAAACCCTTAGGCCACTGTTGGATAGGAAATTTCAACAGAGGAAAAGGATTTTCCATTTTCATGGGCAATTTCCTGGGAAAAAAAATAATTCCTGAATCTGTTCATCAACTTTTACATACAGTTTCTGTTTACAGTCATATCCCTTAGAACTAATGCCAAAACCAGAAAAGATATTAAAGATTTTGGGATGAATACAGGGGCTTATCACATAAGAGAGATGGGGACTGGGGGACAAGAATTCTTTTTTATTTCTTTTTAATTTGATGATATGAAAAAAAAATTGTAAATTAATCTGGGGAGATTTCATAAACAGAGTTTTCATTGTGGAGGGAATGATTTGGACCTCTGTATCTGGAAAACTAAGTAACATTGTGTAGCAGCCATTTTAACTTGCCATATAATTCCCTTTGCAGGTCTGAAAGTATTTATGAGTGACAAAAGGTGTTCCTCAGGGGTCGGTATTGGGACCACTCAACATCTTTATCAGCAACATGGTCAGTGGGATTGAGTGCACCCTCAGTAAGTTTGCTGATGACACCAAGCTGTGTGGTGCAGTCGACATGCTGGATGGGAGGGATGCCATCCAGAGGGACTTGGACAGGCTGGAGAGGTGGGCCACTGCCAACCTCATGGAGTTCAACAAGGCCAAGTGCAAGGTCCTGCACCTAGGTCAGGGAAACCCTGAATACAAGTACAGGTTGGGTAGAGAATGGACTGAGAACAGCCCTGAGGAGGAGGACTTAGGGGGGTGCTGGTTGCTGAGAAGCTCAACATCACATACAACATGTTCCGTGCTGGCAGCCCAGAAAACTACTGTATCATGGGCTGCATGAAAAGAAGTGTGGCCAGTCGGACAAGGGAGATGAATGCTCCTTTACTGTGCTCAAGACCCCCACATGGAGTATTGCATCCAGCTCTGAGGGCCCCAACAAAAGGAGCGAGTCCAGAGGAGGCCATGAAGATGCTCCGAGGGCTGGAGCACCTCTGCTATGGGGACAGGCTGAGAGAATTGGGCTTGTTCAGCCTGGAGAAGCGAAGGCTCCAGGGAGACCTTACAGCAGCCTTCCAGTACCTGAAGGGGCTACAAGGAAGCTGGGAGGGGACTTTTTACAAGGGCCTGTAGTGACAGGACAAGGGGTGATGGGTTTAAATTGAAAGTGGGGAGGTTTAGATTAGATATCAGGAGGAAGTTCTTCACAGAGAGGGTGGTGAGTCACTGGAACAGGTTGCCCAGAGAAGCTGTGGATGCCCCATCCCTGGAAGTGTTCAAGGCCAGGCTGGATGAGGCTTTGAGCAACCTGGTCTAGTAGAAGGTGTCCCTGCCCATGGCAGGGGTGTTGGAACTAGATGATCTTTAAGGTGCCTTCCAATCTAAACCATTCTATGATTCTGTGATTCTAGCAAAATTACAATGCAAACAGAACACTGCATGTACATAGTATTTCCAATAAATACTTACGATCAGACTGTGGAATAAGTGGAATAAATTTACTGAATACACTCTTTGTTATTGAAGGGCTGGACACAAAACACGAATAATTGCCCTTATCTGATGCTTCTACATTTGCAATGTAGAGGTTGCCGTTTGTCTGTGACACAAATCGTCGTTTGTCCAAAGCAATGAATACTGGGAACTCATTGAGAAGCCAGCGGTAACTGAGATCATCTGGAGAAAAATATTTTCTAGTCAATATTAAAAACCAGTACTATCAGATACTTAAGGCACAGAATACTGTCTGCACAGAAATTACTTCACTCTGATTTCTAGCTTATAGATCTTTTCTTTGGGAGACGCAGCTACATGACAGAAAATAGACGTGTCTCAGTAGCCAGCTAACACCTTTCTACAATGGCCATCGGGGTGCTGCTCCCATAAGTGCAGATTACTGGGGACCCAGCTACAGTGTGCACGGCTGCCCTTGGGCACAGTCTTCCCACAGGAACAGGAGAGGGGTGGGAGGTGATGGGCAGATGATCTTGATCTCGCACAATTGAGAAGCTGGGAAGCCTGCACCAGTCTTGTGATTTAGACAAAACCTATTTTAACTAGAAATATGTCTCAGTTCTTCAGTTCTGTGCAATACTTAGACACAGGGTAAGAAAATTAAAATATTAGCCCATTTTACATGGCAAGATATGCTAACAGCCAAATTCAGCCCTCATGATGGAACTGCTGCTGCTTGAAGTTGCAGGCATAATCCTGCAGAGCGTTTCAGTAGCTAATGATGACAAAAAGGCACTTCCAGAGCATAAATCACCTCATCTCTGACCCTCTGGGTGTGCCTACTTCTGTTCCATGATTTTAACAGGAGCCCATGATCGTTTCTGTTGAGTTGACTCCATAAGGTGGAATGAAGCTGGGCCCTGTCCAAGGCCAACAGAAAGTCTGTGATGACACAGGGATATGCACTCAGGTCTTTTGAATGGTAGGCCAAGTCCACCCTCTATTACCCAGATTAGTCTGAGTAATTTTATTTGTAGTATTGAAACCTATTTGCAAATTCAAAAATACCCGTTACATACAGTCAACTACAAGCATTTATTCAAAATGGAAACCTAACCTAAATGGTGATTCTCAAGCTTCATAAAAGTTACTGTTTAAGTAAATGGAAAGGAAATTTTTAGAATTAAGTATTAGTCTTCTACTCTTAAGCAGTTGAAAATGAAGCACCTTGAGTTGAATTACCTGGGTAGTGGTAAGGGGGCTCACAAAGAAGCACTGCTCCAACTCCTTCTCGTACTTTAACCTCATAGCGTTCCTCAGGTGGAAAAGGATCCAGATCTAGTTTAAAAAACAGAAGGGGGGGAGGCAGCTGGGGTTTTCACTATAATATTTTTTATTATGTTTTTCAGCCCTGTAGAGATTAATATAGAAATACAATAATATATGATAGATAGGTGTGGACCCATAATGCCAGTTTTGCCCATTTTAACTTTTTCATTATCAAGTGCAATGAATTTTTAAAAAATATTTTAGTCATCATAATCACAAATGCAAGTGGTGCAGATAGCATCCGTAAGAGCAATCAGAAGAGCTACAGCTACATTTGAAGAAGGAATCCCAGGAAGAGAAAGGAAAAGGATTTTAGGTTATTTTTCAATTGCCTTCTCTAAAATGCAAGTTTAATTCTCTACTGCAACTTGAAGTGGCTTCTTTAAAATGACATGGCTGTCCTCCCTGACAACTCCAAGGATTGGTAAGCAGTAAGCTCAGACAAATCTTTTCTGCCAGAGGTTTGGGGCAGAAGTGGCTCAGATTCGAGGAGAAACCTTAGCTGACCCTCTTTAAACCAACTTCCATGCAGCAGGGTAAAAGGATAAAGAACCAAGTCCTTCATGGAGCTACATGTATCCCACAGACTGTGGGAGAACAGTAGTGGTATCTGCAGTGATAAGACAACAGTTGTAGGAGCAACTTCAGCTAGGTCAATAACTGCATTTTGCTTATTCTTTTCACCCTCATTCTGTGTATCCAGTCTGAAATTAAACTACAAACACCTTAAGGCAGGGAACATCTCTTGTGAAGCTTCTCCATGTCACTAAGGGCAGTGAGATTGTGGAGATCCTGACTGGAGTTCTGCTCTAAAGGCTACTGTGCTGTGAACAGTACAGCATTACTAGCCAAGTGCACAGCTGCTGAATGTAATATTCTACCACAGAAACCACCTAAGCTAAATTCATTCAGATTACTTCACCCTTCTCCAGTGGCAGGCAGCTACGCAGCTCTACTAAATTCCCAAGGCTGGCTCTGATATCTACCTAAAACTTAAGTTCAAGGACAGAAAGAATATTATAGTCATCGGAACAAATCTGCTGTTAATTTGATACTGCTCTGCATATGGGCAGTGTGGGGTTTGGTGAAAAGTTATCTTAGTTATTTCCAGATTACATTTTAAGTCTAGACGTTTTGTTTATAGTGTTCTTGAATAATCTTTGAAACTTTAGGACAGTCACTACAAATGTAAAGACATGGGATAGAACAGGCAACTTGTATATGTAAATCATTATGTCTGTACCAAAATAGCATGGCCTATGCCAGCTGCAGGGAAGTCAGACAATTACTGAGATGTTAGTTGTATACCTTCTTCCCACTTACGAAATGCTCTATACTCTGATTGGGTCTTGATGTCTTCCTGGCGTAAGCACTACTTGCTTATTACCCAATAATTATAATAACCATGATTCCATGAATTCTTAATTGGAATACATTCATTTTTAGCTAGAAATAGCATAATCACTACACTCCTACAAGCATACGGTTAATATCTAGTGAGTATGGAAGTTTTTCTTCCTTGTCATTCTTGCAGCCTCTCTGCTATGAAATTACTGTGTTTTACTATTCTGACATCATTTCCCAGCTCAGCACACCCCAAAAAGCCACTAAATATTACTGCAGGGTAAAATTCCTTCCCTCCAGAGTATATATATGTAACAGCTAAAAAGGATTTTAATGGGTTTTAAAGCACTGGATCTAAAATGATCCAGTTCTGCTGAAGACATTGCTCTCAGGTGGATTAATTGACATGAAGTTTATGAGAGAGTGTGGCTTTTGTTTCATAATTTCAGTATATTTTACAGTAAAACAAAAACAAAAGGTCTTGCTCATTTATAGCTGGTCAAGATTTTGCGAGCCATTTTTCAAACACTTAGTTTTAGCAACTCTATTCAAATTAAATTTCTCTAATTGATTTTTTAGAAATAGTGATTGTGGAAGGAAATGTTTTTTATAAGTGATAGAAAAGGAGAGGGAAGCAAGCACAACAGTGTGAGGAAGAATGACAGAACCATTTTTTTAACAAGTATTTATCAGTTTCAGCTATCTTTTCACTTATAGTCCTTGCTCCTTACCCTATTTTCATTTAAACCATTAAATATTACATATTAGGGTTCTGTTCAGTATAATTGTGCAGCACACTATCAAAGTTCAGTTCATGCAGTCTGTGAGCTGGTAGGCAGAAAACATGCCTCAGACTGTTTTGATTCTACTTCTTTCCTCTATTATGTGTACTGGCTTCATTTTAAGTAGCTACAGCTATTGTCATAGCTTTTATCCTACTGGCTCCTCAGGACTGGCACGACTGATGCCTGCTTTAGGTATGAATAAATATCTCATAAATTGAATTTTGATGTCATCTCTATTAGAAGGAATTAACAACCTGGCCTTCTATTCATTCTAGAAATTATGCCAGGTAAAATGCAGACTGAGACTAGATCAACTATTATGAAATCCATCAGCTTTTTTCAGTCTCTTAAGTTTTCATGAGATACGTGGTCCTGGAGTACCACAATCACTAGGGGAATACAGAACTTTTCACTTCATCTCTGATCTTATACAGTAAGGGGTGACACGTGCTCCTTGGGCTCCTGAAGACAAGAGGGGCACTAGGCACTTAATGTCACAATTAAAGGGCCCACAGGGCTTTGTGCATGGTTACCAGGTAAGAGTGGACCCCTTTTTTTGTGTGGATTCCCTTTGTCTCCTCTGACAAAGAAGTTTATCTGGGGAAAAAAGCATCTTAAGGCAAAATAAAATAAAAATCCCCAAATCTGTCTTCAGTTGGTAAAATTTTATACTACTCTTCATGCAGTACATCAGTTCTTTGCAATGCATATATATCTGTCGGCAGGGCAGGTCTGTGCATATGCATGCATTCACAGGACTAGTTCATGACTGTCAGAAGATGACAGAAATATCCCCCAGAAGGGTCTTCGTTGTAGCCTAGGAGCCAGGGAGCATGCCTTCCTAAAGACTGCCATGCCTTCCCCCTAAAGGCATCCCAGCTGTGTTTGCATGGCAGCAGCACCTCATCATCACAGGCCCCCATTCATGTCTGTATTCTGTGACTCTTTCATTCAGAAAGAGCCTGGACATTATTATCTCAAGATCTGGCTCTGTAAGTCTCTTCAATTAATAATTTAACACCAACTCACTGAGAAGGCTGTTGTGTCAGCTGAATGCTATAGAATATAAAATGCTTACAAAACTTATTTTATGTTGAGCTCTGCAAATGAAGGCACGTAAGATACTGTTTTTACAGACCAGTGGAGCTGTAGCACGTTAGCAGAACACTGCAGTGTAAAACGTTGAGCATTTCAAGCTACGCGTAACGTTCCTACATTGTGACTGAAACATCGACTTACATCCAAAACGCAGAGTGGCTTCACTGCTTCTGACAGTTCCAAAGATATTTGATACTACACAGACGTATTTTCCAGCATCCCTTGATTTCTCTGGATTATTGATAACAAGTCTGCCTCCCACCATACTGTAGCGATCCTTCGTTAAATCAATATCCCAGTTGTTGAGTTTCCACCTATTAAAAAAGAAAAGCCAGATGTAAGATTTGGCCCAGAAAAACAAATCCGGTAAGAAATAGGATTTGAAAAATTACTCCTAAGTTCTGATAAACTATACAGGATCTTATTAGTATACTTTTATTTATGTTTTCATTTTTTCTTCAGCAAGAGGCACAGATTCAACAAACTTCATTAATAGACTCAGTCTCCTTCAGCCTCGTGAAGATGTGATGTAGATTAAAACCCGATTGCTGGCCATATAGCACAGAGCTGGCCTTGAGTGAGCTTCTCAGTGATCAAGCACCAGGATTATAAACATATCCTCTAATAGTTATCTAAGGCCAAATTGGCTAAGAAAATACTCCCTCTGCACCTTTCAAGTATGGACTAAGGAAATCTCTAAGAGCTTTTTGCAAACTTGTTGCAGGGGATGAGAATGTTTCATAAAGCCTAATGTGCCAGTGAGTCTGTGCAACAGCCCCACACCTGGTCTAAGACCTACTTAAAAAAAAATTGCAGGACATTCCCACCTTAATTACTTTAAAACTCCGTGGACTGGGTCTAGCCCTTATTGACTTCTACTGATTTCAACGAAGATACGGCACAGGGAGAGGGAGCCAGTATTCACGATTTGTCTACATTTATATCTATCACTCTGTCCACAAGAGGGAGCCCATAACCTTCTTTGAAAAGCACATTTCCTGAGCACAATTCAGAAAGCTGCAACTTAAATACATTTAAAGATCATAACATTCCTGCAGTGTAAATCGATTTTTGTCATAAGGCAAAGATAGGCACTAATATCTGAAAATAATTGTGCATACCCATGTCTTTCTTCCTTAATGAAACGTTGTACCAAAATACACAGAATGCCCATTTGGAAGCTGAAATTGCATTTGTCAGAAACAAACAATGACAGAGCTGGTATTAACAAAAAACAAACAAAAATTTAAAATAAAAATAAACAGTGAAATGGTAGAATTTTCAAGAGGTAGTAAATAGCATTTAGCTTTTACAGGATTTTAGAGATATCACTTCATTTCTGTGAGATATACTACATGTCTGTATTACAAATAAATCCCCTATTCAGAAATACCTAGGAATATCACAAGGGCAGCTTATGCTGCAATGAGAGAGATCAGAAAAACATTGCACAAATGTGTAACTGTGAAGAGTAGAATTAAAAATTCTTTTCTTCTGAATTTATTAAAGACCAAAATACAATCAGATTTGTATGATACATCCTTTTCTTCTCTGAGTACAGTATTAATTTATATTATTTTGTAAGACAGAGTTACTCAGCAGCATAAGAAGATGATAGTCATGCAATATTCTTGCTGCTTAGATGGCAAAAACCCCTCCTTCATTCCACACAGGCTGTGTTTGTCACTATTGTAATTCACATGGGTAGTTCTTACCAGGTTCAGTACATGTTTCTCATACGTACGTAGTGTTTCTTGCACATGAAAATGCAGGGTAAGAAACCTTATGACACTCAGTTGGACATACTGAATTTAAAAGAAGTTATATCTCTTTTAGAACCGGGAAGAAATATTTGGGGATTTTTTTCCTATAAACTGATAAGCAGCTTGGGAACGTGTATTAGTAAAAAGTGTATAGCTATCTATGGTCTTCTCTTTTTCCACTCTTTTTTTGAGTTTCTTCAGGCTGAGATGTAAAATGGCAGGAATATACATATAAAGATATCTGCAGATGAGTTAGGAACCATCCAAGAAGCTATATCCGAAGGGAACCTACAGGAAGAAACGGTGTTTGAAGAAACCTTAGAAATGCTGGAACCACCAAGAGACGTATGAAATCTCTAAGATGGTAGGAGTGCTACAGAAAAAGGTCTCTGGTAATTAACAGTGTGTATTTGCATAACAGGTAATTTTGAGAGAAACAGCACAGTAAACTGAGGTCCATGATTTGCAGACAGGACTGGAAACTAAAGGACTCATTATCTTGTCCCCATGAAAGTATGTTTCCTTTCCTAGCAGCACTGAAGGCTCCAGCAATGACAAGGGAAGAAAACCAGATTCCTAGAAATTGCAGTGAGTATTTGAACTTTAGCACAAGTGAAGGACTATCAAATACAGAAGGAAGAGTGGATGAATGCTTAACAAACAATGAAAATACAGAACTTCTAAAAGAAGACAAAGGAGGTGAATGGTCAGGAAAAAAAAAAAAAACAGTGGCACGAAGGACTTCTCTACATCTGAAACAAGAAAATTTTGGCTCATGAACTGTTGGAGGGCTAAGAAATGGAGACAATATATTGAGGTAGAGTAAAATAACGGCGTCAGAAAACAAGGAAAGTGGCTTTATTCTGCACTGCAACTGTTATCACATCCGCTATCAACAACAACTGTCAGATCTGTTCCTAGACAGAAGAGCTCTGGAGGTGCAAGGCCATTCTTCCAGAGTGACTTAACTAGTTCAGATTTTGCAGAGCCTTTGACAGACAAAGAAGAATGCTAAAATTTACATAGAGCCTGTAATCACTCTACCAATGGTATGTCTCATAGCTTGCAGACAGGGTGGGGGAGTCTCTGGACAGACTGGAAGTGATGGGTAAGTATATCAGAAGAGTACCAAATCAAAGCATGTCTGATCTCTCCACACTTCCAGTCCTTTCTGATCACTGGGAAAGCAAACAAGTGCAGCAGCAAAATGCCACGCAGAAAAACTTGTAAAGGTACTAGAGCCAGGGATTATATTCAGAAGGGGTATTCCAGTTCCCCTCAAATCCTTTAATCACAGGTGGTTCTGTGTATGTGGAAAACCTGTAAACATATTTCAAAAGAAAGGCATCTAGTTAAGCTGTTTTGATGTAAGAATACCACAGTTGACCACGATACTATAACAACTTTAAAAGAATGGCGAGCGGACTCAACTGCTTTTTCTTTCTTAGAAGCCAGAGTCTAGGAACACAACTGAGTGAGTACTGGGGGAAGATCATACGGTAGTTTAATGAAATGGATCTCTTCTGCTGGCAAGAAGTTGCATCTGTCCTTTAGTATGATGACAGTAGCTTTCTGACCATGACTAGGTTGTAAATAAGTCATGGTCTTCATAATGAAAAGCTTAAGTACACCCTCTGTACATAATGAGCAGATAACAGCTGACAAACTCATATGGATGTTCCAGAATTTCACAACAAAGCAGAACTGCCCTGTTAGTAACAACGCAATTATTGTGAAAGAGGTTATGTGTGAATCTCTACTAAAACTAGTTGAAACTTTTTTCCAGAGGAACATTTTTCGTGTCTTCAGTAGCACAGCTGACCCATTCCTGAGTGTCCCTCTACAATTGGGTGGATGCAAAAGCAACATAAGATGTAAAATACCCAGGTTCAACAGCCAGTCCTTCTTTCAGTGTGAAATATGATTAAAAAGCTGTTCTGAATCAAAAACAAGGACTTAAACCTCAGTCATCCTTAGCCTAATCTAGAAAGATACCCTCCTAATTAATTTTTAAAGGTCATTTTGTTATATTTTGAAGGTCATTAAAGATATTTTGTTTTGGTTTTGTTTGGTTTTTTTTTAATCTGGATCAGTACTCTTTTCAAAAGCTGAAAACATTTAAGACATCAGGAATGTATCTCTTTCAACACTGTCTGGCATTCTGACAAACTGAGTCAAGGTTGATCTTTACTCAAAAACTGCAATTATTTCCCCATTTTTTCCTGCCTCGAAGACTTTGTATCAACCTGTTAAGACAGCCAATCATTTAATAAATACCACAACCTGAAATACTCACTGAGTAAAATATGTAAGACCTGAAAATCAAAACAAGAGTTACCTGTAAGTAGGAAAAGGAATTGCTCGAGCCCTGCAGTTCATTGAAACTTGTCCATCTGAAGATTCTTCCGGGTAGATGGTATCAATGGGTTGCTCCTCAAAAACAGGTCCATAACCTTTGTTTCCTTCCTCTGAAAAACAGAGTTTAAAATGAATAATTTTAAATTAGTAGCCAAACTGAAGATGATTTTACATCACACCTTCCACATTCAAAATGTGAAGGCTAAATACTGAGCCCTGCAAAATCAAGTTTAATATGCATCAACAAAACCAGAGCAGTACAGGTAACAGAAGTCTTGGCCTTCCTTCACTGAGTCCTGCTTCATCCCTGCTCCCTGAGAACAAAAATAATTTAAACTATGTTCCTCTAAAACTACCTTCTCTGCTGACATCATCAATTATTTGATGAAGATAATTATGAATTGAAGATGTGCCCTTTAGGAGTGAGACCAACTTATTTCACAGAGGGCAACAAATTCTCATCAAACAGGTCCAGATGCAAAACCACTATCCAAACATTATGTGTTTCTTATCTTATAACCTAATCAGCTGCAATTGTTTTACATATTTGGAAAGAATCTTTATTGCATGAGAGAAAGAAAAAAACATGAAAGCTGAAGATCACAGCTGAGAATTACTTAGGTTCCAGAACACATTTCTGTCCTTCCTTTCACACTCGGGCATTGGTCTATGTTAACTCACTCTCCTCCAAAATAAAATTTTAAAAAAGCCCCACAATGAAAATTAACTATGTTTGTAAAATCAAGCACTTAAGGATGAATAAATGTCCAAAAGGTTTGGCAAGAGACAATTTTTTAATCTTTATCCACCGTTTGCTGATGCTGTTGTAAAGGTAAGGCTCTGCCCGCCCCAGCTGCACTCCCTTCTCCTTGATCTCCTCCAAGTGTACCAGACTGCTCTCTGGGGTCTGTGAAAGCAAGAGTAGACGCAAAAGTAGAACACTATGGGAAAATTCTGCTCTGCAAATCCAGAATGTAACTGCTTCTTCCTGTGAAAAAGGCAAATCTGCACAGAATGGCACTGTGACAGGACAACTCAGCTGTCTAATTCTTACAGGTGTATCTTGAGAATGAACGGACAGTATGGACACTTGTAAGCAAAGTCATGGGAAAAGCCAAGTAGAACATGACTGCTACCAGGTTCACTTTCCATGAAAGCTTTTAGTTTAAAAATTTCCAAAAGCAATAGTTAAGAATGGAAAATTCCTAACATTTTTCAATATTGTCTGTACTGCTCATACAAAATCTGCTACATCTCTTGTAATGCTACATTTAAAAAACCTTCACAGATTGAGACGTGAACTGGCACTGTAACAGATCAATGTCCTTAATCAAGTTACGCTTTTGTACTTATCCCTTTAAAATTCTTGCCTTTGGTTTCAAAATATTTTTGACTAAATTAGGCAGGTTTGATATAACCTAAGAGAAAAGGAAGACTCTATCCACACAAGTATAAAATATAAATTATGTCAGTATTAAAATACCATATATATATATAAAACAATCCTTACACAGATATCTTTTTTTATTGTTCCTAAATTCCATATTCATAGACACTGGATTACAGCACTCGCAGAAAACTGGTTACAGATAAAAATTAAGTTGCCTTCCCAGTTCAAGTCTTGGGAAAAAAACACAAACGTTTCCTTTAGGGACGGAAGCAGGCCCAGAAGTTTCTGCATGCTGCAAGAAGTATGGGCAGGCAACTTCATTTGCAAAAACTAGTCAATGTAACAAAAAGAGAAGCCTTGCAAAGAAGCAAAGAAGAGCAACTAGAAATAAAGGCAGAGCTTTTGAAAAATGGTCTGCTTTCTTTGATATCTGAAAGCACAACACCGTGTAAGAATCTACATATTGCTAGATCAAAAGGAAAAAAGTAATTTCAGACTGAAAAGGCAAGAATCACACGTCTGCTCAGAGCCTGGAATGACTGAGCAACAAACCTGATGGCAGCTTCCGTGCGGCTCTTAAACGTGAATACAGAATACCGACGGCCCCCAGCAGCGAACGCCTGCATCGTACGCAGCTGACTCTTTCCACCTTAGGACTCAAAGGATGTTACGGACCACTTCTGCATTTCATGGCATGCATTTTTAATGCTGCCACCACTACTCATTGCACTGAGCAAACATCTGTCTCTCACACCTACTCAGTATGCCTTATAAGGGCCCTTCTGCGATGGGCTGTTAGGCATCTGGCGTCAGACGCCTGGCTGAGCAGAAAAAGATGTGCAGGCTGCATGTCAGGCGTGGAAACCGATACACCTTCCGTTCCCCATCACAAGCTGAGCATGGGCCAGTGACATGCAAAAACCGTGGGGGAGAAAAGGGAAGACGAACGGTTTGTGAAAAAATCAGCATGTTCACATTTTAAGTGAAGTACCATGCCCGTGTGACTAAGTTCGGAGTGAGGAAGGGCAGACTAAGAGTACAAGGAAAAAGATCTGTTGACTGAAGTTGCACCCAGAAGAGAAAGGGGAGAAGTAAAAGTAGGGGAAGGAAGAAGGAAATGGATGGATTAGATCAACTGTGGAGGAGAAGAAAAGCAAATTTTATCTGTTCTAGTCCCACTTTAGGCACGAGGATGGACTTCACAACCTCTCAAACACCCTTACTTCCCTATTTCTTGTGCATTTCTTGTGATCTCTATTTTTAATAGCAAAAGCAATTGCCTAATTCTGATTATTTGAAGCATTCTTCAGTGAATTCTGCGAATGAGATTCAGACTTTTCAACAGTGCTAAAATGTATTAGGAAGTCTTTGCAAAGGTGAAGAAAAACTTCACAGAGCTGGTATTTCTCCCTACCAGATCTTGGTAGGTCCTACCACATCTACCATACCAAACCATCTCCAAAGGTGTCTTTTTGGCAGATTATAAAACCCTTCAATAAGTGTTGCCCCTCTATTCCGCTCTCATAAGACCTCACCTAGAGTACTGCATCCATCCCTGGGACCCTCAGCAAAGTAAAGACGTGGACTGGTTGGAGCAAGTCCAGAGGAGGCCACGAAGATGCTCAGAGGGCTGGAGCACCTCTGCTATGGGGACAGGCTGAGAGAGTTGGGCTTCTTCAGCCTGGAGAAGAGAAGGCTCCGGGGACACCTTATTGCAGCCTTCCAGTACCTGAAGGGGCTGACAAGGAAGCTGGGGGGGACTTTTTACAAGGGCCTGTAGTGACAGGAAAAAGGGTAATGGGTTTAAATTGAAAGGGGGTAGATTTAAGAGATCAGGAAGAAATTTTTTACAATGAGGATGGTGAAAGACTGGAACAAGTTACCCAGAGAGGTGGTAGATGCTCCATCCCTGGAAACATTCCAGGTCAGGCTGGACATGGCTCTAAGCAACCCGACCTTACTGAAGATGTCCCTGCCCATGGCAGGGGGGGTGGACTAGATAACCTTTAAGGTCTTTCCAAACCAAACCATTCTATGATTCTAAGTAAGGTGTCATGGTTTAACATTAACAAGAGAGTTAACTCTTTCCTGACTAATCCCAGCACATAAGAGTTCAAAATTTATTTGAACAATAAAGCAAATCTTTTCCAATATTTATCAAATCTTACAATCAGAAGATCTTTTGAACATCTAAATTTTAATATCTAAAGATCTTTACCTTTTGGGTCTTTTTCTTGAACTTTCTAATTTTACTAAAAGTTCTCATATTAGAGATGAGTTTCATCTTGTGGCATTTTGCCTGCCTTTTATGTCTTTCTTCTTGTTAGTAAGAAATAATGAAGAAAAATTGCACCAAGAGTATTTGCACACAACCACTCATCTTGCTCTTCATGTGCAATGGAAGTCTCTAGACATAATTATAACATTTACATTCTACACAGTACAAAGCAACTATGCCAACCTGTTACTACCATCTACAGTATAAAATCTTGAACTCAAAACATTGATTTCAGTGGGTTAGAGTGCTGAGCAAATAATCCCTCTGTCCAGAGAGAGCAGGGCTAGTTTGCTTGTTTCAACGCCAGTCATCCAAATCACTTTCAGATGAGTCAATTTATTTTATTATCAGCTAATTCAATTCTTACATGCATATAATTTATTTTGAAAATCGATTTTCCTCATAGATTGATAATGTCATGAAGTAAAGCTACTTATAATTATGGGAAATGCTGTGTGTGTGAGCACAACCAGAAAGGGAAGTTAAAAATATGTAGTTTATTAAAGACACTGTGAAATTTTTAGTTCATAGGAGAAAACAGCAGTTCTTGGCCTTATTTTTTTTCCAATATGGAAAATAAAGTAAAACCTAATTGTTTACTCCCTGTCTTATTCTCAGCTGCAGATTGCATATATTGCATGTGTTTTCAGGGGTTGTTTTATAGTATGTGTGGCAAATCATGGAACATAAAATGCTTTTAAAGGCTTTTCTTATAGATGACCTGGGCTTGCAGCACGCCATTATCTCAAACATTAATGAGGTGACACAGACAAGTAAATAAGTAATGGCAAGAATAGTAATTCCTTCTTTCTTCTTCTTTCTACAGAAGCTACTTTCCTGTGTACTGTAAAGTGAGACTCTTGACATTAAGTGTGGGACTTATCTCACTTAATTTTAAAAGTTAGGGATTTTGTCCAAACTACTCACATGGTCTTTCTTTAGGGGGGTCAGACAAGCATTTCTAGCAGGTAACTTGCATATTCTTCCTTCATCAGCCACAGAGAAAGCTGAAACCTTCATCACATACTTAACCCTTAGACGGGTAAAATAAATCATGATGAATCTTCCCATAGGAGAGTCTGGATGTACATGACTGCGGCTGTGGAACATGACCTGGAGTCTCCCAACTGAGCCCACTGGCCAAAGCCTAGTCCTGGCCCTGAACGCAGAACCCAAGCCTCCTCCTGGAGCAGGACCTGCTGAGGTAGCTGTAGCACCATCACCAGCAACAACAGGAACACTAATGGCAGATTACCCCCCATTTCCTCAAGTGTTAAGATTCAGGAGGGAAGGTACAATGACAGCACAGCCCACTCCCACAAGTAATGAGGGACCTATTATTTATACACCTAGTTTGTCCTTGCCCTGAAGAAACTATTATTGTACTCCAGCACCAGAAGTGCAACTTTCTGCTTCTTATTTGTTCTGCAGGGCTCAGAAATCAAAAGAACATGGAGATAGTGAGGCACGAAGAGATACTATTGTCCTTACACCCTCACATACCCAAAGATAACAGTGTTATCTGTTATATGTTATCACATAACAAAGATAACCTGTTCCTTCTTAGCCAAAATTGAACATCACCTAGTGATGTCATAGAAATATACATTTTTTTCATTAAACTTATTTAGAAATGTATTGAAATAGTGATTTTATCAATATATATACGAACATAATTTCCATGATACCAGATAACTCATCAGTTTCTTTTCCACACTTTTGAAACATTTTTTGATGCAATACCTCTACATATCACTTACTGCCAGCACAAATACTGCATTTGGATGTGTAAATAATAAATCTCAAAGTGTGGGTTTAATCTATGAAGTTCCTGGTGATAAAACCACTGTCTCTTTGGGTATCTTTGGAACAGGTGAGGCTGCACCTTGAATACTGTGTTCAGCTTTGGGCCCCTTACTACAACAAAGACACTGAGGTGCTGGAGCGTGTCCAGAGAAAGGCAATGAAACTGGGGAAGGGTCTGGAGCACAAGCCCTCAAGTTGTGCCAGAGGAGGTTTAGACTGGACATCAGGAAAAATTTCTTCACTGAAAGGGCTGTCAGGCATTGGAACAGGCCGTGTGAAGCTGAAGACAACTCATGAGTTCAGCAATTTTCTATTTTATACTAGAGCCAAGTAAATGGTAACAGCTGGCACATCGTGGCTGAGGGAAGGCATCTTACTCATGCTTTAACAGAGCCAGAATCATCACCACCACTCCTCATTTTTAATGACTCTTCCTAGGTTCAATCATGATCTTCTCTTTTTTCCACCAGTTCTACACTCGGATAGCTTCACAGAGTTATGAAATCCCTGGATCAGCAGTGATAAGGCAAGAATTGGCCACTGCTGCATTTTTTCCAGGACAGCAGGTTAAAGAGGCAAGTTGCAGCCCAGCAAACCCAGTGCAGTACATTTCCTCTGACATTTGTTGCTGCTTTCAGCACTGGGAATCACAAGGCTGATCTGTATCACACATGCAGGGAACACACACTAGGAAGACAAGAGCTGATGATCTTAATCAGGACTTCTGCATCACATGGCAGAAAATTTGGAAAAGGGAAAAAAAAAAAAGAGTTTGTTGCTTGCTGTTAGATGCAGGTACTAATAACTACACATTACTTCACAGATAACGTTTAACAACCACCCAAATTCAAATGTATCTGTTTTCTTCTGCTCATGGACAGCTGCTACCAGTACACAAGGAGTTACTTTATACCTGATCTGAGATGTTATTTTGTAGGGAACCTGAAATGGAAGATTCCTGGAATTTCTTTAATTACATTATTTCTACAGAGTACTACCTGTCTTTGCAATATACTCATTCTCACATTTTGCGTAATCAATTGTCTGTCTAATCTGAATACAGAAAAGTAGAAGAAAACAGAAAATTCCGAAGGGAACTGTATAGTCTAGTTTTACTATTAGTCTTTTATAACAATGTCTCTCAAAGACAGGTCACTAAACCATGGTAGGATTACTGTCTTCATATGGCTAATATGAGCATAAGGAAAAATGTTATACATTAACATTTACTCTCACTTTCTAATTTGATACGCTGATTGCAAGCAAGTCTTCCATTTTCTACATTCTTTACAAGATACATCTTTTCATTTTGGCTTATAGGGTAGTTATAATCTATATTTCATGCAGGAGCTGTGGAATGTTATTCACTGAGGAGTAAAAGTAATCTTTCAACTTTTTCCTTATTTACAAAGTTATTAATGCTTTATCAATTTTTAAAGTTACATATTTCAAGTGATTCATTAGAAATGGTGGTTATATAGTTATGTGGCAATTCTTTGGGAAAGCAGACTTAATGAGAAGTCAAATGTAAGTTCAAGTCACTTCATGCAAATGATTCACATACTGTAAATGAGGTGCGAGAGGTTTTTCATGGATGTCCATTTGTGTATTTTCCTTATTTGTTCCGAAGTGTCCTTAATCTCACTAAATTCTTAAATTAAAACACAAAAAATATAGAGAAGTAATTGAATCTTAATGAAGGAAACAACTGATTAAACAAAATGGAGCAAGCATTCCCTTAACCAATACTTAGGGCACTCAGGCTTCTGGAAGGGCTCCCAGATCCAGCACCATTTAAAAGGTGCTTTACTCAGGAGGAGCAACTTGCACGTGTCAAACAGAAAAACATTAGTGTGCAAGGTACCATATGCAAAAGAAACTAACAGAGGAAATGGCAATGGATATTACTGAAATACAGTGAAGAGCCGGTAGCAAAACACGCCTACGAATCCATATGTTCAGAAACTACAGTGGATGTATCCTAAGTCCCTAATCCTGCAAACACTTTTGTACATGTGTTCAACTCCGGAGTAAAAAATCCCAAGCTCCAAGACCAGAAGACCAAACCCCCGTATACTAGAAAGGAGGGCTGAAAAATCAAGGGAGAAAGATCTGAGTGCTTTTCAAGATTTACGGATTGCATACTTAAACAAATTACCACACTGCTTTAAAAAGAGCAAAACAGAATTTCTGTGCAGAAACCAATTCATTTTGAAGATAATTCTACGAAAGTGAGCAGTACTTTTTTCATAGATAAATGCTCAATAATTCAACTGTAATGAAAATATATTGTCCACAAAAGATGTAACAATTCTACTAAGGGATGGCTGCAAGAGTTTCTGCTGGAAATAAGACGACCTTTACTTTCATCTTTAGGAAGGGTAACATATTAATACTGTTTGCTTAAAGCAAATAATAATAGGACAGCACTGAAAGCACTTAATTTAAGTTCATTAAAGGCCTCTCATATTCCTTCAGTAACTCATTCCATCACAGAATTTGTACACCTAAGTTGAGCCAAATCAACAAGCTTACTTATGAATGCGATGTTAAGCACCTGTTCAAGTCCTCTGCTGGATAAGAATCAACTGTATTCTAAAAACACCACAAATTATGACATGAATATCAATAGAAAATCACAATGAAAAGTTTTCCAAAGGTCAATAGCAAAAAGAAGCTACAACTGGTGGAAAACCTTAAGATCCATCACTCCCACTGCACACAGATATAGAATTATTTTAATTAGGACATTTAGTCTTCTAATGATCCTTCTCCTCTTTTTGTTTCTGCTTCCTGTACACGTCTCTATGTCCCTGGCATTTAACATTGCTAAAGATGGTTGCTCAGTTCATTTGGCACCACTTGTCAGTATTGATCTACCTGACAATGCTGTGTCCTGTTACTTATTTTCACATGAGAAAGGGACAAAGGTCTGCTGACACAGCACATGGCCAGATTAACCCTGAAGGCCAATGGATGCTGAAGAGAAGAGCCCTGCACTCATTCATTATCTTAACTAAGTTGTCAGGTTTTGTATCAGCATGGCAAGTTGAGGAAACATTTGATATTTAGAAGTATATCTCGTACTGTTTTCAACATGTCACAGAAATGAGGACCTACTAGTATCTGAGAAAGTCATGCTTAGAAACAAGATGGTCTGGCCAAAACACCGCTACCAGGCTTACAGGAAGGTAAACAAGGCCCTTCCAGGTTTCTGAGCATTATGATCACACAACACACGATTATTTATTTACGAATGTCAGACACACTGCAGTAGAATGAAATGGTCTTCTAAGACCCAAGCAGGGACATGGCAGACAAAGTAAACAGGAATTAAGTATATTCATCCACGTTTTATTTTAGATAAAAATGCCTACAACTGTGAATAATGCCATATGTTGTGGTACATAGCTTTAAATAATGAAGATTCTGGTCCTCAGTTAATAAAATATATGTTTGAACTTTCTGTTCCAGAGAAAATCCAAGCTATATGCAATTTACGGTTTGGGGAATGGATTTTTTTAACTTCACTCATAATCAATAGGGAAAAATCGCACTTGGCATTCATGGGAAGCTCATGTGCTGAAGCAGTAACACGTTCATGTCCACAAAACCCATGATACAGCATTTCATGGTCTAGGAAGAAGATTGCGTCATCGTGACGGAGAAGAGGTATCAGTGTAAGCCAGCAAGATGCTAAAGGGACATCAGTTACCGAGAACCAGTCAGCACTGAAACAGGAAGAGTAACCACCCAAGCAGTCTCACTTCGTAGTACACAGAAGGGTTAGGATGTCTTTGGGAAGGCTGTCTCTGCTTTTCTGGAATGAAAAGAGGAGAATTACTCCTGCCTCACATACGTCAGTGAAGTCCTTGAACAGCCACGTAGTTAATTATGTAGTTTCCCCTGTAGAGCAAGTTTAAATATGAAAAGCTCTAACCCTTTGCAGAGCAAGTTTCTCCACTTATCAGAATGAGAGGGTACAGTTTGCTTGTTTCCTCAGGCTGCCAAGGGGAATGCCAGCCATTACTAATACACAACTTTTAAACATACTCACAATTGCCTACCAGATATTTCTAAGTGTTACTTCAAAAGTGAGTTAGCAGCCTAACATCTTGATGTCACAGGAAAGCCAGTGCTCAGCAAATGAAAAATGAAGGTAAAGCGCAGTAGGTACTCTGCACTAACTCCCCTCACCAGCCTCCAAGTGCATATGAAATATCAGCAACGTACTCAAAAATTCAGGATGCCATCCAATCCCACCCTCATGTACACATCGAAATTACTGCCCTACACTCATGGGCCCTGTCCCTTACTGGCTTTCTTGCTTTAACAGCTTTCACTGAAGCTTGGGGTCCTAGGGATTTTTGAAAATAAGGCACTAGGTTCCCTAAAAGGCAGAAGTGCTTTTGACATTTTTACCCCTGGACTATGAGATCATTTAGCACAACCCAAAATAGTCACTAGAATGACAAGCTGCCTTTTGAAGCCTGGTCTGACCCAAACTGAGGTACTGCCTGGCTCCCCATCATGAAATCCCAAAGTAAGAAGCAGAAGAGTTTGATTAGAAATATCAAAGGAACACAGGAACATTTTTTGCTGTTCATTCATCTGATAGTCAAAAGTAATCAAGTGTTAATTTAGCACAATAAAATAAAGGGCCTTTGCAGCTTTTAATTAGTCTTTGGAGGAAGAAACCAAACAAACCTGTTGCTGAAAAAGACTCAATTCTTCTGGTGCAAGGTGGTTATCCCCAGCAAAGTTACCCTTTGGCTAACTGATTTATATGGGATGTACCAGGTGAAAGAAAAGTTTATCATTCAGAGTTCGAAATAAGATGTGAATTTAACAGGGAGTCAAAGGCAACTTAGAATTATGTTGGAGAGCGCCCAGATGTTAGCGGAAAGAGGAGAAGAGTCAAATATTACCAGTAATAGGCATGAAATAACTTTTTTGGCAGTGGTCTGACAATCACGACCATGTTCCCTAAGGAGTGATTTGCTGCTCTCATTTGCCTTGCACTGCTCAAAGTGCACTCTGAAAAGCAAACTTTATTATAACTGTTGGTTCTATCAGTAAGTGAAAGACCAAATTACTTACAGCTTTTTCACCAATTTATATCTGCAAGACTACATTTTAAGCACAAAGTTACCTGGAAAATAAATATTGCTCCTGTCTCATTGCAGAAGATGATCTCTGCCTAAACTTCTGATGAACTGATTGCTGTAACATTTGCTTCCCTTTAGTCAAGCAAGTGCACATTCCTCACTGATGGGAAACGGCTATTCACCGTAAAAAATTCCCAGCTTCTGCCTTTGATTATCACAAAACAGAAGTGGCTAAAAGTCACAGGCTTTATTCCAAGGCAAACTTCAAATTTCTAAAAAACATGCATTTCAGTTTGGGGAAAAAAATATTTTAAAATTTCCTACAGCAGGAAAAAGATCAATTTGAAAAAAAAGGTAAAAATCCTGAGCTTATAGTTTCAGAATACCTGTCACCCTTTCAGGCCAAATTCTGAACATCTCAAATCAGTGTAGCTTTGGGTTTTCAGCTTCCTAGCTCCTTGTTTCCCAAATACTTTCAGCTGGTAAGTCGGAAAGCTCTCGATGCTCAATCAAATGCATGAATTCTGAGTATTTGCAGTTTTTTTGGCTGCTATCTTTGAACTTGGGACAGACCATAACGTAAGACATCTTAAAGCACACTGACCCTGGAAGCTACCCATTTCCTGGCTCCAAAAATACCGCAGGTCTCTTTAGGAGCATACTGGCTTGCAAAAACTTTGACTAGTGCCTCCAGAGTCTTGGGTCAGTTTGCCCAAAGGCAACTTACATGGTAAAACCACCTAGAACAGTGGGTTCTAACACCATAGGAGGCAAGGTGAGCCAAATATGCTTCCAAAGAAATGCCATGTTTTGCTAAAAAGTGCTAAAGCAACCTTTTACTATTCTGCTTTTAACATCTTTGCTCTGGCCCTTGGTCTGCCTTGTTACTGAAATTAGATATCATAGTCTTCACTCATTAACCATCCTCGATTTCAACATTCTCCAGAAATGTTGAATTTGCCAGAATTCCACGATAGTATCATGTGTGCAAGAACACCTCCTAAAACTTGACCTGATCACCCTAATTGTGCTCGTTCTTTCTCTACAGTACCTATCTTTCACTTTTTAACCATATTGTGAAGACTCCCAAGCAACACCTTAGATTTCATCTTGGTTATTACAGCTAAGTGTTTTCTGGTTTCCATGACATTTTCATTACCAAGAAATACACTGAAAAGGAAAATTTGCTAAGACTAACTGCCAGCAGCTCTAGCACTCATTTGAAGTGAGAAACCTTCCAGCAAATTTCAAGTGCTGGGCAGGGCAGAGACTGCAACATCAGATTCATATAGTCCATAAGTGTGCCCTAATCCCGAGACAACAGAAAGAGAATTTCTCTCAACTCAAATGGATATTTAATTATTTATGCAAAGTAGAGCAGTTGCAAGAGCAGAGAGTGTGTGCTACTCAGCCTTGCAATAACGCACCGGAAATAATGAACTACCTCCGATTGTGTAAGACTATGAATCTTCCACATTGGAGGATAATGCCATTTCTTTAGAGACAGTGGAAGGTCATATCTTTGGCTTTTGATGAAAATACAAGCAACCTCTGGATTTATTCCATAACAGAAGATAAATTAGGAAGTTTCCCTGAACTG